GAGTAGGATATCCCTACCTCGAAGTTAGAGCTCAAATGGGGAAGGATGAGAAAGTGAAAATGCTCCAAACACCACGATTCTCGGATCAAAACGAAGCCCTCGACGATCCACACACTTTTTACAAAGGCCGGAGGATAGAGAGACACTCTAACTAGATCAAACCCTAGAGAGAAGGGAGTTTCTAGAGAGAGAAGCTCTCAAAATAGCTTTTTAGAAAGTAAGAGAGAGAGAGAGAGAGAATGTACAAAGTGATTTTAAAATGTCCAGCTGCCAACTGATATACGACATTCCCGCTCGAGCGGAGAACACAATGCTCGAGCGTCAAGAACAAAAAACTAGGTACGCTCGAGCGCAAGAAGTCCCACTCGAGCTCCAAGACACAAGAATAAAGTACAACTGCTCGAGCGCGAAAACCAGTCCGCTCGAGCGTAGATTTCCCCCTCCCAGAACTTACACTGAAAAGTACTACCCGCTCGAGCGCCACAGCACCCACTCGAGCGCTACCGCTCGAGCGTAAAGAAACCCGTTCGAGCGTAGAAATCACACCTGCAGAAGTTTTGCAGGGACACGAAAAACTGGGAGCGTGCAATCTCCGCTCGAGCGCAACAAGGCCCGCTCGAGCGGAACGACCAAAAACCTGGCAACAAGATTTCAGACCAAGGTTCAACCCACCTGTTCGAAACATGCCCAACACATCCTAGAACTCAAACAAATGGAATTAAAGGATGACAACAAGATAGATACAACTACCAACTCCACGGAATCGAGTCCGGAATACAACAGAACAGTAAAGAGACAACAGGGATCGCTATACTCTATCTTTTTCTAAGGGCTTCAGATGCACACTCTCAACGGTTGCATAATGAGGTAAGCATAGCCCTGAAGGAGGTCTTATATGCCACATTCTGTTTTTCCTTCTACCCTCTCTTTTTCTTTTGGGTGAATTACCTAACAGTCAGGACAAAGGGAAGGGGGGTTGTGGCTCCTGCAAGAATAGTAGGAGCTCTATGTATATATATGTATATGTATATGTAGATGTGTCTATGTTTGGCCCCTGCAAAAATTCTGACCCTTATCTATCCCAAAGTGAGACCAAACATTAAAGTCTTACAAAAAAGTGTGGCAAAAAAGCGATATTTTGGTGTTATTTGGAATGATCTAAATAAATACATTTTTTATCTTTTTACGGAAAGACATGTAGAAAAGTAGAGAGGTGATGTGATAGAAAAAAGATAAAAAGATAAAAAAAAAAATGAATTATTTAGGGAATGCCAAACCACCCCTTAATAGTAATTTTTAATAGATTTTGTTAATCTATCACTGAGGTTGTGTTTGATTTATGTATTTGGATAAAGATTTGAAATAAAAAAATACATAAAATATAAGTGAAATATAATTCTATTTCGTTAACATTTTATCTTCCTTTTTTCTTTCTCTATCCAAACCCATAAACCAAGCATAGGGTTAGAGTACAGGTTAAAAGTGCAAGAAATATATATCCTCAATAAAATAGCTATAATAAAAATTATGCAATTTTTAAAATTTTTCTATGAGTTAACCAAACCCGTTTTAATTTAATTACATCAATAGAAAATTAACTATAAATTTGGACTTTTTGAATTTTATTTTCAAAATTTACCCACTTGGAAAGTATATATTTAAATTTGACACAATTTTTTATTTGGACCATTGTCAAAAGTTTGTTGGCAGGTTGAATTTGTTTTAACAAGATGAAATAATCAAACTATTTTAACCACTATGTTGTTGTCAAATTTATAATGCTTCACTTGCTCAATATCTTTATAAATTTATACAATAATAATTTATATACACACACATTTTAAAATAAATAATGAATTTTAAGTAGTTTTTAATTGTTTTTGTTTGAGTAATTCAAAATTTTATTAGAACCGACTTAATTAGATTTTTGATATAACATAAACTATCCTGTTCATTTCCGTTTGGCCCCTCCACTTTTATACTCTTAGCTCCGCCCTGGCTAATAATTTCTATAATTTGAGACTTGTATTATTTTAGTTTATGACTTTTTAATTGTGATACATTATTGTTTCAAATAAAAACAATTAAAGATATTTTCTTTACAAATAGTCCATTTCAAGGGCAAAGTTCTCATACAACTTATTTTATATTGGTTAACTTGTATGTAATTTGAAATGTAATGACCTTTTTTTAGGGAATGACTTCTCTCCAATCCAATCCAATCCGAACCGTTTAATGTGTAGAACTCGTTGAGTATTATTTGCCTGTAAAAAATCACATTGATCGGATATCGATAGCTATGTAATCAAATCAGTTTTGTATGAAAAAAATAGACGGTAAAAAATAAACGATTTACAAAAATCTGATCTGATCACATAGCGATCGATATCCGATCAACGTAATTTTTTACAAGTATATAGTATTCGACGAGTTCTACACATTGACGGTTCAGATTATCAAAACATGACCCATGGTGGGCCCCCACGGACCCAACAATACCCTCAAATCCGATTATGGACACGAGGGAAGCCATTCCCGCTTTTTTAATGAATAATGCTAAAACTTTCTTAGTTATAAAATTCTGTTTGGTTTATTTTTCAAAATTTATTTTCAGAAAAAAAAATTTCAAGAAACTAAAAATTGAATTCGTGAAAAAAAAATTAAAAATACATCATTTTTATATAATTTTATCTTTTAAGAGGATAGAAATAAATTTTTTGAATAATTTTTTTTTTATATTTGTTTTCATTAAATTAGTTTCTATTTTTTCAGAAGTCAAACATAACAACTTCAATGTCATTATTAAACCAATCCATTATATTAAAAAATCCAAAATAAAAAACATTTCATATATTAAATATATCGATTACACATTAAAAGTATAATAACTATCCATTACATGATAATCATCGAAAAATATTTGTTAAAAACAAATATAACCCTCTATTACTTGATAACCATCCAAAAACATCAACAAAAATAATCACCTATTACATGATCATCATCCAAACACATACTAAAAATTAATTTAGTAACAAAATAAAAATATAAAAGATTTATCATTTTTATATAATTTTATTGTTGGTGGACAGAAATAATTTTTAAAAATACAAAAATATTTTTTTAACATTTATATTTATCAAACTAGCTTATATTTTATCAAATTGATGACTTTGCCCTTGAAATAGAACAACAGTGTCTTCAATTGTACTTATTTGGAACAAAATTCAAAATTTATAGTCAAATGTATCACAATTAAAAAGTCAAAAATCAAAATGACATAAGCTCCACACTACAGAGACTGTTAATGTAATTCGTTATTTATTTTTTTTTTATTTTTTTTCCAGTAGCCAAACAAGGAATATTTGAACATGTTTTATCAGTAACATCTAACTTCCATGCCTCATTTCTAGTCCTATGAGGACCACCTGATTCGACCAAATAAAAAATACTCCATTGTCGAATATATCAGAAATGCCCCATACACCCACTGGGGGTCGACCCCCAGTGAGGTGGCAGTCCATCATTTGACAAAAAAAAAACTACTTTTTTTTTTTTTTTTTTTTTTTTTTTGGATTTCAGCCAGTGGGGATGCGACACCTCACTGGGGGTGCGACCCCCACTGGGGGTATGCATCACTGCTGTATATTAAATATCAGCATATATGTCGGAAGTAGCGGAGCCAAGATTTTGATTTAGAAAGGGCATCATTGAATTGAAACCTTAACAATATTCACAATTTAAGTTTTAATATTATGAAAAAATAATAATTTGCTAGTTTCTTTTTTCTTCAAATCTCTACACTTTTGGAGAAATTCAAATGAGTGTTATAAAGTAAATAAATTTCTCTCAATTTTTTTCTATTTCTCTCCTCTTTACTCAGCCAATCTGGGGACATCAAGCAAGATAAAAATGAATTTCTTCTCTTTTCTTTCCCTCAAATCACTCAATCTACATCGGATATAAGTTTTACATGTACAGATGTCATTTGTATTTGTAAAATCTACGCAAATCTATGCAGGAGGTGAAATTCATCCGATGATATGTATCATATTCCCATATATGGGTAAATTACACTTTCTTAACCCTTATAATTTGACCTAAATTTCATTTCACCCCTCTAGTTTCAAGTTCAACGATTTAGTTCCTTTAAGTATTGTTTCAACCTTTTTTCATTTTTTATTTTTTGTTCAAATTGAAAGTTAAAAATAATAATTTTCAAACACTAGTCAACTTTTTGAGATGTACACAAAAAAAATTTACCGAAAATTTAGACAAAAAGACCAGGTTGAAACTGAACTTTGAGGTTGATATAATGAAAAACCAGGTTGAAACTGAACTTTGAGATATCTTATTATTAATTGTAATAGATAACACTAATCCTGCTTCTTTTATGTTAATTGTTCCTTTCCTTTTGCTATGCTTGTTTTTTAAGGGATTACAATTAGTAAATGCTTGTTTAAGTGATGATCAAGAACAATTACTTTCATAATACTAATGATTTTTCCACAGTTAACTATATGTATATGTTGTGTTTTGGGAGAATTCGTACTGGTGTTTCTAAATTTGATATCTGTCAATAATTTTAAGGTTTGCAGTGTCGAATATTGCTGCCAATATGTAAATTACTTCCAACAAACTAGAAATTATTCACCTTTTTTTAATGTTTCAAATCGATAAAAAGTGTAATTTTTAAATTTAAATCTTATGAAATTGAAATTTCCACTTCATCCTTAATTGGAAAATAAAGTAAAAACCACAAAGTATGCACTTTGTGTCATTTTGATCTTAATATTTCAGTTGTGTCAATTTAATCTCTAATCTAAATTTCATATTAAACTTTTTCCAGGGTAAAATTTTTAAATTACTACTAACCAGATTTTCGTTCTCCTCTAGATTCTAGCCATCCAAACATAGTTACACAGTAACAACTGTGCCACAAGAATGATGAAGCTAACACAACTAGCAGTCAAATGAAAAGAACAGTAGCACAAGTACCATTTAAGTTAATCTTAAAGCATTTCCATTATAAGTAAACTCAAATAATTAAATTAAAGAACAAAACAAGGATGAAAACAAAAACATAACATTATTTATCCATAAAAAAAAAATAAAAACAAAAAACAAAAACATAACATTTTCACCAGTTATAGACGTAGCCAACAATCAATATTGTCTTAACGGTGGTGATGAAGACCTATCCTTTCTTTTACCCGTTGTGGATATGGTTTTATTATTATCATGAAAATGAGAAGAAACTGAACTGCCATGTAAATTATTATTGTCAATTGAGATGCTCTCTGAATCACCTGGCTCAAGTAATTCATGGTTGTTACCGAGTTGGCCAACTTCAGAAGTATCTTTAGTGCTGGGAACTCTTTCAGAAGCTTCACAATAACCTCGCCTGGTGATGCAGAGCCAGGTCCTTGAAGACTCATCCTTGCTTCCTGCTAGAGGCATGTGCCACGTTCCTTTCTCTGATTCCTGAAACAGTGAGTAGTGTCTGAATGCTTGATAAAAAAATTAATTTGTTCTTAATCTATCCTTCAATAACGTGAAAACACCAATCGGTACAAAATTTCTAATTGATATGCCAATATTTTGCCAATGCATATATTATCAGTATCCAGGTTCAGTAACTCATCCATAATTAAGGCTGCAAATGAACCAAGCCGAGTTGAGTAGTAGATTGTTCAAGTTTAGCTTAAAAACTTAATGAGCTTCAAAACGCGTTCGCTTGGCTTATTTACATAACAAGTCAATCTCAAATGAGCTTTTAATGACCTGAACATGAATCAAGCTCAAACAACTTTTTTTTATTTTTTTTTTATATAGTGCATATATGCTTATCGAACAGAATAATTTGTTTAATTTTGGTTTGAAAACTTAAATTTTAAAATATGTTCAAGATTGACTGCTCACATAATGAACTAATCTTAGATGAGCTTTTAACAAGACAAATACAAGTCAAGCTCAAGTAGCTTAATTCGTTTTGCAGCCCTATCCATAACATAGATTATCACCCTTATTAGAATGATCAAAAATGTTTAACAATTTAGGGATACTCAAATCCGAGTTGGCACATCTGGCTCTCCTTAGGCCTCATAAACTGTGTGGTTACCAAAATGACAGGCAAATGTTTGAATAAGGTCAAAAGTGTAGAAATTGATGTATTATTGATTGTGTATATTGTTATATATTACAAATGGTAAGGGGCTCCTTATATAGTAGATGTAGTGGAGTAGGTGGTAGTGGTAGGTGTGTAGTAGGTGGTAGTAGGTGGTGGTAGGTGTAGTAGGTGATGGTAGGTTTTAACAGCCCCCCGCAAACTCAAGGGGGATAGGAACTAACCAACTTGAGTTTGGAGAGAGTAACAAAACAAGAAAATAATCTGAAAAATAAAAAATGGAGAATGTATGGTTATGGCAGACCGATGTAGAAGACACTGGCTCGTGTCGGGCCGATGTAGAAGACAGTTTATGGGGTCATGTCGGACCGTTGTAGCAGACAATGTTGTGACAGTTGTTGTGACAGTTTACGGAGTCTTGCCGGAACCCAAAGCTATCCCTTCCCTTGGCTATGACTTCTCTCTCTCTCTCTCTCTCTCTCTCTCTCTCTTCCCTTGGCCACACATGACTGCGAGTAGTGGATTAATGAGAATGGCTTAGGGTTTTCCAAACGCTTATGTAACTGGTCTCTTTTATTTATTTGTTTTTGTTTTGTTTATTATTATTATTGTAATATATTATTATTAAAACCTTGCCTCTTAATTATAGAGTTGCATCATAAATTTATGCAAGGTTTAAACTTAATTAAAATACCCTTCAATAATATGAATTGACACTTTAGGATTCAAGAAAGTAGTTTGATATTTATGAAAGTATTATAATATTATCATAAATATTATCTTTATTTTATTTATTTATTTTTTATATCGGGTTCTCAACTGATATTGAGGCCAATCAGTATACTTTGAAGTCATGTGTGGAGACCATGACGGCGGTTACAAATTTGTCGCACCGGCTGCAGAGTAGGACAAATGAGGAGCAACAGTTAAACGCCCAACTGGCTCTGCTCCAACGCATGTATAAGGATGCGCGAGCAGAGATAAGTGTGCTAAAGGCGGAAAATAAGGAGCTGAAGCGGAAGGCCACCGTTATGTTCCGATTTGGAGGTCCGCCATATGCTGCAGTGGAGGAGTATGGGGGAGTGAACGTGCTCGGTGGCGTGGAAAACTCGGAGGCAGCACCGTCAAGGGCCGCCCAGGACGGAGGCAAGAAGAAGAGACCGGCGGCAGAGTAGAGAAGAAAAATCCTGCCTGTGGATGTGTGTTTTGTTTTTGTTTGTGTGGTTTCTTTTTTTTTTTTTTTTTTTTTTTTGTGTAAAATGCTGATCGGGGTTGATCCCCGGCATGAAGAAATGACAAGTTTGTAAAAGGTTGTTTTTTTTGTTATTTTTTATTATTATTATTTTTTTTTTTTGTTTGGTTTGTTTTGTGTAAAAATAAAAATAAAATGAAAGAAAACAAGGGATAAAGAAAAGAGATAAAAATATTTGGAGATGGATTATATGAAAAACATCAATGTGATGGTTTCAAAATAAAGTGGGGGTGAGGGTCCCTACAAAAGATAGATTATTGGAGAGTGGGTATTTAAAAAAAAGATGAAAAGTGATTTGGAAAAAATAAATAAAAGAAATTGATTTGAAAATCAAACGGAGGAGAGAGAGGGACAAACCCATGTGAAAAAGTGGAGAGAGAGAGAAGGTGAGAGTAGAGAGCATAATAATGAGTCTGGGGTCTTTCTCTAACAGACGCGAGCACTTTTGGCTTTTTTTTTTGTTTTTTTTTTTTTTTAAATTAAAGGAGCATCTTGCATTTATCAATTTCAACTGTGCATTGTTGGGAAAGCATTACACAAAGCTGCTCAAAGTGCTTCAAAGGAACAGAAAGTAATGTGTATTCCTATAACAGCAAGAAAGAAGAGCTATCAGGATTATTACATACCAGAACCATCCAACTGAGCCCAGCACAGCTCCAAAGATAGCAATCAAAAGTCCCGTAAGATTAGGGACGAAGAAGAGATCTATATGGACATGGACTTAGAAGAAGAGGATGATGGAAGATGATGGTTGTCGGAGCGCAGACAATCGCAGCGAGGTAGAACCGAATGACTGAAGGAGAGAAGACGTGGTCGGCCTGACGGTAGCGGAGAACATTGAGGTCGCCGCCGGGGCAGTAGGGCACGGCCCAACCCAACAACTGGTGGGTCTCGAAGGATCCGAGAAGGGTGGAATTGATGGAGGCGAGGTCGGAGTCGAGGGAGCTCCGGTTCTCGAGACGGCCGGAGCCGTAGACGTAGTCGATTCCTTGGGATTCGCAGAGCTTGCCGAGCAGACCTCCTATCCAGCCGATACGGCCGTAGATCAGGAACTTCAGGGGCTTCTCCGATGAGCCATTGGCTGGGAACCCCATACTCAAATCTAGAAAGAGAGAGAGAGAGAGGACTCTGATTGATTCTTCAACCCTAAACACACACACACAGGCAGAGGGAGCTCTGTCTTCTCTCTCTCTCTTTCATTTCCAGCGCATACACGAGATCGGCGAACTGGTCGGTGGCAGTGGAAGATGACTGGAAACCACAGCAGGGGACAACGCACTCCATGAGTGAGCGGAATGAGCACCGGAATCTGATTTCCCTGCCACACTCCACGGAGGTTATTGGTGTGTCCATCACTTTCATGTTCATGTGCACACATGTGCAAGGGCCCCCTTTGGCTTCCCAAGTCTATCATCCTCATGTTTGCTTCTGCTTCTGCTTCTGCTTCTGCTCGGAATAGCACTAGCTGATGATCAGATCAGATGAGATATGATCCAAACAACACGGAATCATCAACCTCCAAGACAAGAGAGACTGAGAGTGAAGGTATGTGTAGAAAATTCTAGCGGACTAGGTTGAGGTCCGGCGGGCGTCCAAGGTGAGATTGTCGCCCGCCGGTGAAGCGAAAAATACTAAGTTCTTAACTTTGCTCTGATACCATGTAGTAATTGATGTATTATTGATTGTGTATATTGTTATATATTACAAATGGTAAGGGGCTTCTTATATAGGAGATGTAGTGGAGTAGGTGGTAGTGGTAGGTGTGTAGTAGGTGGTAGTAGGTGGTAGTAGGTGGTGGTAGGTGTAGTAGGTGTAGTAGGTGATGGTAGGTTTTAACAAAAAGTTATCATAATGGCAATGTAGCGTAAGCCACTGAACAGCCTCTTCAACCCTTAAAAGCTGGGCGGCTCTCACCATGTGATGCATTAAAATCGTAGCAAAAGTTATGTAATACAAAACTTTAAGAGAGATAAACTTTATATATGTAGATAAAAAACATTAAACTAAAGATGTCTATTTCCAAATAATGACTTCACAATTAACGAAACCTTGGCAAGGATTCAGTAACCTGTGCATATAGAATATTCCAACAGAGAAAGTTTAAGACAGAAACACGGTATTGTAGTTTTAGAGAAGAGAAAGTGATAGGGAATGCATTAGACTTCATTCCCTTTAGGCAATAACACCAATCAAAGGAATACATAAGAATAAAATACAATTGCTTATTTCCTGTTCTAACACTCCTCCTCAAGCTGGTGCGAAGATATCTCTCATGCCCAGCTTGTTGGGAATGCCATGAAATGGTTCGCTTCCTAGCCCCTTGGTGAGAACATCAGCTAGTTGGTCTCTAGTCTTCACAAAAGGAATGCATATGACGCCACGAGTGAGTTTTTCCTTGATGAAGTGTCCATCAATTTCCATATGCTTAGTTCTATCATGTTGCATTGGATTATGAGCTATGTTGATTGCGGCCTTGTTGTCACAGTATAGTCGCATGGAGTTAGTCTGATGGATTCCCAAGTCTCCCAACAATAGTTTAATCCATAGTAACTCACATACACCCTGAGTTACAGCCTTGAATTTTGCCTCACCAGTAGATCTAGCAACCATATTTTGTTTCTTACTTCGCCATGTGACTAGGTTGCCACCTACAAATGTGCAGTATCCAGAAGTTGATCGTCCGTCAGTGACTGATCTAGCCCAATTTGCATCAGTAAATGCCGCCACACTGAGATGGCCATGTTTTGAGAAATAGAGACCCTTTCCAGGAGAAGACTTCAGGTATCTCAGAATTCTCATAACTGCCTCTAAGTGGGAAGTTCTAGGAGCATGCATAGACTAGCTCACCATGCTCACGACAATGGCAATGTTTGGACGTGAATGGGATAAATATCCTCACTCAGTTTTTGGCCCTATTCTAGAGGTGTATCACATGGTCTACCTCCAAGCATTCCAATTTCTTTTAGCAAATCAAGTACATACTTCCTCTGGCAAAAGAAGATGCCATCCTTGGACCGAGCTATACTCCAATGCCCAAAAAATATTTCAAATAGCCTAAATCTTTGATTTCGAACTCCTTGGCTAAGTATTCTTTCAAACGAGGAATTTCTTCAACATCATCTCCTGTCAGAACAATATCAACATAAACAATAAGAGTTGTGGTCTTACCATGTGAGGAGTGTTTCACAAACAAGGTATGATTAGCTTGACTTTGCTTGAACCCATATTTCAGCATAGCTTGAGCAAACCTTTCAAACCAAGCCTTAGGAGATTGACTTTTGGAGCCTACATACTTTACCATTGGACTTAGCATCCGCAAAACCAAGAGGAATATCAGTATAGACCTCTTCTACTAGGTCTCCATGAAGGAAGGCATTCTTCACATCAAACTGATGAAGTGGCCAATCCAAATTTGCAACAAGAGAGAGTAAGATCCTCACAAAATTCATCTTAGCAACCGGTGAAAATATCTCCTGGTAATCCACCCCATAAGTCTGAGTGAAACCCTTAGCAACCAGTCTTGCTTTGTACCGTGCTATAGAGCCATCTGCTTTGTGTTTTATCGTATACACGCACTTACACCCAACTGGATTTTTGCCTCTAGGTAACTCCACTAACTCTCAAGTGCCACTCTTGCTAAGAGCTCTTATCTCTTCCATCATTCAGGAATAGAGAGAGCATCTTGAAAATTGGTAGGTAGACTCACAGAAGACACTTTAGACATAAAAGCTTTATATGAGGAAGACAGAAGAGAATAAAAGACATGATTACTAATAGGATGTTGAGTACATGACCTAACCCCCTTCCCATTAGCAATGGGAACATCAAGATCTTAAAAAGTAGGAATAAAAGCACTAGAATCAAAATTACCTGGACTCTCAGGAGAGGGGGCGACTCTAGACACTCATCCGGAGAAGTTGGCAGTAAAGGAAGGAAAATAGTCTCTTGCATCCAGGTGACTTGCCGTCTATCCTTGTCCCTGATATAAACTTTGCCAGCTTCCTTTTCCAAAACTGCTGGATCATCATCCTTTATTTGTTTAACCACTGACGAAAGTGGAACAGGAATCTCTTCACACTTGCAAATGGGAGAATGATAACACTTATAAGCCTTTTTGGTGGTAGAATAACCCAGAAAAACACATTTAAGAGACCTAAGATCCAATTTACCACGAGTGGGTGAATGATTATGGAGAAAGCAAACACAGCCAAAAGTCTTAGGAGGAATGGGGAACCCAGAAGGGGTAGACCCAAACAAAACTTGAAGAGGTGTTTGTTTTTGAAGGACTTGGATAGAAAGACGATTAATCAAATAAGCGGCAGTAAGAACCACGTCCCCCAATAGGATCGAGGAACCCGCATCGCAAATGATAGACAACGGGTGACATCAAGGAGATGGCGATTTTTGCGTTCTGCAACACCATTTTGTTGAGGGGTATTAGTGCATGAAGTCTGGTGAATAATGCCATGAGTGGCGAAGTAAGTGGCAAGACCAGAGTCAATATATTCTCCCCCATTATCAGAACGTAGAATTTTGACAACCAACCCAAACTGAGTACAAATCATTTTACGGAAGTTTTAAAACACAGAAAATACCTCACTTTTATCTGTCATCAAATAGACACAAGTGGCCCTGGAACAATCATCTATGAAGGTAACAAACCATTTTTGACCGGTTAAAGACACAAAACGGGATGGACCCCATACATCAGAATGAATCAAAGAAAATGGAACTAAACTTTTATTAATAAGAGCAAAAGAGGCTCTGTGTTGTTTTCCAAGTTAACAAGATTCACATTAAAAATCTGACACATTATTTTTCTCAAAAATAAAAGGAAATAAATGCTTAAGTAATAAAAAAGATGGATGTCCTAAGCGACGGTGCCACAGCCAAATGTCTTCCATGGTGGATGGTAACTGAATAGATGAATCAGACAGCATGTCTGTCTGATCCAGAATGTAGAGCCCATGTTCCTCTCTACCACTGCCAATCCTCTTTCTCGTGATAAGGTCCTGAAAAAGACAATGATCAAGAAAAAACGTCACGCTACAATTTAAGTCATGGGTAATACGACTCAAAGATAAAAGATTAATATTGAAATAGGGAACATGGAGGACAGAAAACAAAGGAAGGGAAGAGGTCGCATGAATTAAACCTTTTCCTGACACAGACGAAATTGTACCATCAGCAATACACACTTTTTCCTGACCTGAGGGATTATACTCTGAAAATAAATTAGAGGAGCCAGACATATGGTCAGAAGCACCAGAATCAATAATCCATGGTATAGTCGTATGAGATAGCAATGCACATGGGGAGGAAGCCAAGTTATCTGAATTGGCAAACGAAGAAGAGGGTGCACCTGTAGCAGAAATGGAGGCTCGACGATCTAGCAAGTGGCGAAGAGCAATCTCAAAATCCAAGGCAGATAACCCCGAAACATCGCCAGCGGAAGAGACAACTGGAGATGATGGGGGCTGCTTAACAGTGTCTGAAAGATGGACTCGTGCATTGACCCCGTGGCCTCTAGTACCAAACTGACACCCCCCCCGAGTACCAGGACGATCGCCTCGGCCACCAGAGGGAGTTCAATGCAGCTTCCAACAAGTCTCTCGTGTGTGGCAAGGTCGACAATAGTAGTCAGAGTAAAGATTATCAAGTAAGTGGCAAGACCAGAGTCAATATATTCTCCCCCATTATCAGAACGTAGAATTTTGACAACCACCCCAAACTGAGTACAAATCATTTTACGGAAGTTTTGAAACACAGAAAATACCTCACTTTTATCTGTCATCAAATAGACCCAAGTGGCCCTGGAACAATCATCTATGAAGGTAACAAACCATTTTTGACCGGTTAAAGACACAAAACGGGATGGACCCCATACATCAAAATGAATCAAAGAAAATGGAACTAAACTTTTATTAATAGGAGCAAAAGAGGCTCTGTGTTGTTTTCCAAGTTAACAAGATTCACATTGAAAATCTGACACATTATTTTTCTCAAAAATAAAAGGAAATAAATGCTTAAGTAATAAAAAAGATGGATGTCCTAAGCGACGGTGCCACAGCCAAATGTTTTCCATGGTGGATGGTAACTGAATAGATGAATCAGACAGCATGTCTGTCTGATCCAGAATGTAGAGCCCATGTTCCTCTCTACCACTGCCAATCCTCTTCCTCGTGATAAGGTCTTGAAAAAGACAATGATCAGGAAAAAACGTCACGCTATAATTTAAGTCATGGGTAATACGATTCAAAGATAAAAGATTAATATTGAAATAGGGAACATGGAGGACAGAGGACAAAGGAAGGGAAGAGGTGGCATGAATTAAACCTTTCCCTGACACAGACGAAACGGTACCATCAGCAATACACACTTTTTCCTGACCTGAGAGATTATACTCTGAAAATAAATTAGAGGAACCAGACATATGGTCAGAAGCACCAAAATCAATAATCCATGGTATAGTCGTATGAGATAGCAATGCACATGGGGAGAAAGCCTAGTTATCTGAATTGGCAAAGGAAGAAGAGGGTGCACCTGCAACAGAAATGGAGGCTTGACGATCTAGCAAGTGGCGAAGAGCAATCTCAAAATCCAAGGCAGATAACCCCGAAACATCGCCAGCGGAAGAGACAACTGGAGATGAAGACGGGGGCTTAACAGTGTCTGAAAGATGGACTCGTGCATTGACCCCGTGGCCTCTAGTACCAAACTGACACCCCCCCCGAGTACCAGGACGATCGCCTCGGCCCACCAGAGGGAGTTCAATGCAGCTTCCAACAAGTCTCTCGTGTGTAGCAAGGTCGACAATAGTAGTCAGAGTAAAGATTATCCGTCTCAGAGGAAGGACGAGTACCACGAGTCACACAGTCGCCATCGCGAGAGGGTACAAAAACCAAGGCCGAGCGATCAGTAATAGCAAAAGGAAGCATCGCAGAACGGCAACTCTCCTCATTCTACACAAAAGCAAAGGCTTCCTAGAGAGAAGGAAGCACATCCATGCCAAGTACTCTGCTCCGAACCAAATCATACTCCACATTGAGGCCTTTCAAGAACTTGAAGACTTGCTCTTACGCCACAAACTTCCGGTAACCAACAGAATCAGTGGGACGGACAGACTTGTAATCCTGAAGATGATCAAGCCACTTCCATTCATTGCTAAGAAAGGTAAAATACTGGAGGATAATCTGCTCACCTTGTACCGACCTTTCAATGGAGCGACGTAACTCAAAAGCCTGTGAGAAGTTACACTTCCTAGAATAAGTAGTTTCTACGGCCTCCCAAATATCCCGAGCAGTGTCCATAGACAAGGCAACCATCTCCAATCTCCAGAACCATAGAATGGATCAACCAGCCCATAATCAGAGAATTGGTGATCTCCTACTGGTCATAATGAGGGTCGGTGATACTGGGTGCCTGAACCCGCCCATCAACATATCCCATCTTCCCTTTGCTCTTCAAGAAAATAGTCAGACTCTGCGACCAAGGTTTTCAAAGGCGTATACGAGGCTCGACTTGAGGCGAGGCGTACGGAAAACGCACAAATGCGTTCTTTTTGGGGCGAGACCCCAGCTATGCGTACGTGTCAAAATCAGAGGCGTAAACATTTGTCGCGCTTTATGTGCTTTTCACGCTTTCGACAGCGAGGCGCAAGCCATTGAGGAGTTTGATTTCAAAAATCAAAAAAGGAAAGATAGAGTAGTTGAAGGAAAATTGCTATAAATGAGTTCGATTGAAATAGAAATTGCTCAAGAAGAAGTTATAAATACCATGTAAGTCGATCTTCTTAAGCAAATCAGAGACCCAACAACTTTGAATCAGTCTTCTAATCTTTTTCAACGAACTAGGGTTTTCAAGGTACGCAGTCTCTCTCTCTCTTTCTCTCGAGTTGAGTCGAGTTTGTCTCTGTCTCTGTCTCTCTCGTTCTGTTTGCTGCATCGTCTTTGCATCATCTCTCTCGTTCTGTTTTCTACATCGCTGCTCTGTCCCTCTCTTGTCGCGTTGGTTCTGTGATGTACCGTGATGTATATATCTTATATAATATATCTACAGTGTAGGCTAATATATCATGCTTAATATTATTATTTTAATGTTTCTATCTCTCTAAGTGGAGCACTATATATATTATATAATATATCTACAGTGTAGACTAACTAATATATCATGCTTAATATTATTATTTTAATGTTTCTAAATCTCTGTGTCGAGCACTATATATATTATATAATATATCTACAGTGTAGACTAATATATTATGCTTAATATAATTATTTTAATGTTTTTCCTTCTTTCATTTAAAATTATTATTATTATTATTATTTGATAGACTATAATTTATTATTATTAATATTAATATTCTTCTTTTCTTTTTGCCATCCCACCTAATCAGTATCTTTTTTGTTTTTGTTTTTTTATTTGTTTATTTTTATATAGTGCTACTGTTGATAAGTTTGTGGGGAAAAAAAAATGACTGAACCCAAAGGCCAAAGAAAAGATTTTGTTTGGAAGTATGTAAAAGAAGTTGATGGAGAAAAGTATTTTAGATTTAAATTTTGTGATCAAACTTGTAGTAGTACTGTAAGTCGATTTAAAAATCATCTAGCCGGCATACATAAAGGCATTAAACTGTGTTCAAAAGTTCCTAAAGATGTAAAGTTGGAATGCCAACACGCATTAAAAAATTTCTTTGAGCAAAAAAGTGCTCGTAATGAGATGCTATATGAAATTGGGATGGGTGCTGGAGCAAAGGGCGAGAGTGGTGCTTCTCAATCTATTGAAGGCGATACTGGTGGTATGACACAACCACCAAAACCGAGGGGTCCAATGGATAAATTTGCTAGTTCTCAAGCACGACAATCTACACTGAACTCCAAATGGAAACAAGAAGAAAGAAAAGATGTGTGTCGAAAGATTGCGCGTTTTATTTATTGTAAAGCTCTTCTATTTAATTTAATAAATGATCCGTATTGGGTAGCTGCAGTTGATGGAATTGCAAATTATGGACCTGGTTTCAAACCCCCTTCTATGCGTGAATTGAAGACTTGGATTCTTAAAGCAGAAGTAGAAGATATAAATGTCATGATGGAAGAACGTAAGAAAGCATGGAAACAATATGGATGCTCAATTATGTCAGATGGCTAGATAGATGGGAAAAGTAGAGTTTTTATTAATTTTCTTGTGAATATCTCTACTGTTACTTGGTTTTTAAAATCAATTGATACATCTGATACTATAAAAAATGGGGAGTTGATGTTTAACTATCTTGATAGTGTAGATGAAATTAGAGAAGATAATGTTGTTCAAGTTATTACTGATAATGCTTCAAACTATGTCAATGTCGGGTCGAGACTTGTGGAGAAGAGGAAGAAGTTGTATTGGACTCCATGTGCTGCGCATTGTATTGATTTAATGTTGGAGGACATTGGAACATTGAAAGTCTGTGACCAAACTCTCTCGTTAGCTAGGCAAGTGGTCAAGTTTATATATGGACATTGTTGGGTTCTTTCAATGATGAGATCATTTACAAAGAATAGTGAACTACTCCGTCCAGCAGTAACACGGTTTGCCACTGCTTATCTTACTCTCCAAAGTCTATACAAACAAAAGCAACTACCCCAAGCTATGTTTTCTTCAGAAAAGTGGGCTTCTAGTAGTTGGGCAAGAAAGGTTGAAGGGGTAAAGGCTCGTGCAACTGTGTTGTTTGATCCAAAATTTTGGCCTAATGTTGCTTTTTGTATCAAAAGCACAATACCTTTGGTTAGTGTTTTGCGCGAAGTTGATTCAGAGGAGAGGCCTGCTATGGGTTACATTTATGAGTTGATGGATTTGGCTAAAGAAAAGATTGCTTTCAATTGTGGAAGAAATGTTAGGAAGTACGGACCAATTTGGAATAAGATAGATGCAAGGTGGGCACCACAACTTCATAGACCTTTACATGCTGCTGGTTATTATCTAAACCTTCAGTTGCGCTATCGAGATTCCTTCTCCAATGTTGAGGAGGTGAGGCAAGGATTAAATCAGTGCATGGATAGAATGTTGAGTTATGATGAGCGTCTCAAGGCTGATATCCAATTGGACTATTATAATCAAGCAAAAAGGGAATTCGGAAGTCGTGTTGCAATTGATTCCAGAGCGATACGCTCTCCCGGTAAGAAACTAGTATGAAAATAATTTTCCAATTACATTCTATAAAATTAAAATACGAGATTGAAATTATTTGTGCATTTTTCAAATTATGTAGCTGATTGATGGATTCGTTTTGGGAGCAAAACACCAAAATCAACAAAATTTGCTATTCGAATACTTAGTCTAACTTGTAGTGCTTCGGGATGTGAGAGGAATTGGAGCACCTTTGAGTCGGTAATATATCTTTCTTTCCTAAACTTTCTTATGCATAAAATAAAATATTCATGTTTCTTATTTCGTTTCTTTTATTATTATATTAGATTCATACAAAAAAGTGGAATAGGCTTGAGCACAAACATTTGAATGCTTTGGTCTATGTGAAGTACAACACTAAACTACGAGAGAGGAGTATCAGAAGAAGACAAAATATCGATCCAATACTAATTGATGAAATTGATTCGGATGATGAATGGATTGCTGAAAAAGAAGATCCTGTCCTCCCCCTTGATGCTTCTTAGCTTGATGAAGAAGAATTGTTCGCTGCTGAAGCAATTAGGACTGTGCCTATCACTACCTATGATAGAAGTGTGGAGAATCGGTCAACTACGACTACGATTAATGTTGACTCATCTTCGAATGCAAAGAAAAGAAAAGTTGGTGAAGGTTCAAGTAAGTTGTTAAACAATTATGGACTAGCTGCATATATATTATTATATGCGCCTATTTAATTAATTTGAAATCCTATTTCTTGTATAGGAAAGAATAAAGGAAAAGGCAAGGCAGCAAGATGCACCCTTGTGGATGAAGATATGGAGTTGCAAGAAGTTGGTGGAATAGATGATGGAACCTATCCCATTATAGATATAGCGAATGAAGATGATGACAATATTAATGAGGATGACTTAGAAGAGTATTAGAGTTTTAAGTTATTTTGTTTATTGGACAATTGGAATTTAAGTCATTTTGACCATCACTTAAGTTAATTTTTTATTATAGTATTAATGAGAGTGACTTAAAAAGCACTTATAATACTTGAAATTATTAATTAATTTTGGTTATATGCTTAGAATGGCCTTTAAGAATTTTATTTGTTAATTCTTATTTTTTTTACTCTTTTTATGCTATATTTAATTAATTTTGTATTTTATAAAAATTAAAAAAATCAAAATTCAAAAAGCTTACGCCTCAACGCCTCGAGGCTTACATCTCGCCTCAACAAGGGTAAAACGCCTCGCCTTGCGCTTTCGCCTTTAAAAACACTGTCTACGACCACGCTAGGTAATTCTAAGGCCGGTGTGGAGGTTATTAGTCATAGTGGAAGGGCTAACAGAACTCTCACCCTGAGATGTCTGAGAGGTAGTAGATTCACTAGTCAAATCCGCCATGGATACTCTACTAAGTATTCCTCAAACACAATCCCTCAAACACGATGCCAATCACAAACCCGGAAGATGATATATTTAATTAATTTTGTATTTTATAAAAATTAAAAAAATCAAAATTCAAAAAGCTTACGCCTCAACGCCTCGAGGCTTACATCTCGCCTCAACAAGGGTAAAACGCCTCGCCTTGCGCTTTCGCCTTTAAAAACACTGTCTACGACCACGCTAGGTAATTCTAAGGCCGGTGTGGAGGTTATTAGTCATAGTGGAAGGGATAACAAAACTCTCACCCTGAGATGGCTGAGAGGTAGTAGATTCACTAGTCAAATCCGCCATGGATACTCTACTAAGTATTCCTCAAACACAATTCCTCAAGCACGATGCCAATCACAAACCCGGAAGATGAGAGGGGAGAAACAAGCACAACAATAACTATAAAAACATAAAGACTGAAGAATCCAGTGGGGTTTTGTTGCTGTACTGTTTTTACATCACCAGAGGTTTTTTTTTTTTTTTTGGTGTCGATTTCTTTTCTTTGTATTTAGGTTAAAACATAAAAGAAAAAGAAACGGAGATTGCCGATAGGGACAGTGGCCAAGGAGGACCAAGCGACAATGTCCTAGGGAGCCAGAGGGGTTGTCGTTGCAGGTAAAGAAGCCCTGGGGCTTGCTAATAGGAGCTCTGAAGCCAAGAGGGACAGTTGACACAGCCTAGAGAGCTAGGGAGGGCTCTCGACAGACCCCTAAGCCTAAAGGGGACTGCAGAGGCCTAGATAGATGATTCTAGGAGACCTGGGTGAAGAAGAGAGGCTGGGTGAAGGGCTGTGGTTAGCCCAAAGGCTGGGTGAAGGGCTTTGGTTAGCCCAGAGGCTACCGGAGAAAAGAGAGGCTAAGTGGCTCCTGTGTGTGGCTTGAATAGGGTGGCTAAGGCCTGGGTGGCTCTGATACCATGTAGTTTTAGAGAAGAGAAAGTGATAGGGAATGAGTTAGACTTCATTCCCTTTTATATTAATAATACTGAGTAATTACAGGAGTGCCATAAGACATAATATATGGGCTAGGCCATTACACGAATCAAGGGAATAAATAAGAATAAAATACAATTGCTTATTTCCTATTCTAACTTATTTACTATTCTAACAGGTATTTGGTTATGGAGTGCAGAGCAAGATTCCTTATAGAATGTTTGAATACCAGAAGGATTAGAAAATGTTGCACTGAAAAATAGATATATATGGAACAAGAATGACCAAAAATAGAACATACCTGAATGACAAAAGAATAAGAGGGTGGCATTTGAAGTTTCGGATCACCTTTCGTGAAAGTATATCGAACCTGCAAAATAGGTAGCAAAAGAGATTAATCTTTCTTGCATAATGAAAATCACCTATGTTAAAATCAAATATATATAAGAACCAGCATCAAACATTCACCATAAGGTGCTAACGGAACTTAGAGCTTGTTCGGTTGTACTTTCGTTTTTCATGTTTTCAAATACAAAAATATTAAAAAAGTTTCAAAACACTTGTCATTTTCATTTTGTGAGAAACAGTTCCAAAAAATAATTAGCTTATATGTGTTTTCCACAAATGAAAACAAAAAACAAAAAATAAATATTTTAGTAATTCTTCATCACAAGGATGTGTTACACAGACTCGAGTGCAGGTATCGGGTGCGGGTGCGTATCTAGGGGTCGGACACTTCAAAATTAAAAATTAGAAATACGTGAATATGGATCCAAATTTAGATACGGATACAAGAATACGTTAAATAGTTATTTTTTAAATATATTTATTATATGAAGATGAGTTAAAAAAAAGTTAAGGACTAACAAGTTTTGTTAAAAAAAAAAAAAAAAAAAAACAAATAAAATATAAATAATAAATAAAAATTATTTTAAACATAAAAAAAATTATATTATATATGATAAAATAAATTATTTTTATTTTAGACATAAAAATTATATCATTTATGATATATTAAATTATATAATATTTTTTTGAGTGAATATTATATAATATGAATACTATTATATGTTATTATATTAATATCATTTATAAATAGAAAGCAGAGAAAGAGAACAGAGACGAAGAGAGGACAAAATCAAAGAAGAAAAGAGAGAGAGAGTAAAGGGGAATCAAAGCCCTAGGGTCATTTTCTAAGTGGAATTGACTTTGAGATGTTGGTTTTTAGATCTCCTTCGATTTGGTCTAGTTCGCGACTAGGGTTGGCGTTTCGATCTTGCTTCGAGACTCGACTTGCTTCGCAAAGGTGAGTTTCAACCCCCCCCCCCTCTCTCTCTCTCTCTCTCTCTCTCTCGCAACAACCCTTCTTTCTCCTCTCATGTCAATTGTGTTCGAGAAAACCACACCGAATCTGACACATATCTCACACCCGCACCCGTATCGTGTCATGCCAACACGAGTACTCTGCCCTAAATCGGCAAGTCCATGTAACACAGCTTCAACATGAGCAAAGCAACCATGTTAGTGAAGAACTTGGAAGACACAATTTCACTTGCTTGTAAGAAATAGACTAGGAAAAATCAGCATTTTGAACTTCACTAAATACTATTTTTTTTTTTTTTTCACTAGTCTTTTTTCCAAGATTTTGGAAATAAAGGAGTCCAACATCCACATACACACTCAACCAAAACTCTAGCCAAGACCATATAATATAGACTTGCAGAGTTATTTGTATTCCTTCTATGTTAACAAACATTTTTTCTCTTTCTTTTACTCTTTTTTCCTCCTCTGTTGCTTCTCAGTTCTAGTTATACACAAACGAATTTTGTATTCTTCTAATCTCAGCCATACAAATGTATATGCCCAATACAAATGAATCCTACGAAGTTGGCCTAACAATCAACAAAGAACCAAAATATGAACCCAAAATGACAAAATCTATATTAAGCATAGAATTTTCATGTAAAACATACTTGATGCCGTTCTTTCCACTTGAGAAAGAAGCTGCTACCCAGAAGTTCAAATATATGATCACGCATTTCATCATTCGTCACAAGCAAACACTTGAGCTTTACTGCAGCATAAAGCCAGTACCTAAATTATAGTCAAGAACCATTACTAGCATATTTGCACACAAAACAGCTTCGAAAAATGGTAAACATAAAAGTGAAAAATCATATGATGCGTGCATTATTGAAAAAGGATGAACTCCCCCTTCAAATGAGAAATGCCACAAGCATTTATTTAAGTAACAAATGAGAAATGCACCACCGCTAATTTGGAATGGAGTTGAGAAGTGAAATTATCACAAGAATTAGGTGAAAGAACAGTTGTACAATAAGAAGAAAAATAAAACATATAGGCATATATCATAGTTAAAAAATAAATTGAGAGAGAGAGAGAGAGAGAGAGAGATTTCACGAGGTTCAGAGGTGGTTACCAATCATCATTGGATCCATATGGGGTCCCATATAGCACTCCTTGAGCTATCCACTCCTCAAGCAGCTCTCGATTGGCAGCATTTTCTTGAAGTGTCCGGATACGTTTATTATGCAAGACAACAAGCGGCCATTTGTTGCTCCGCTTATGCAGCTCTTTCACTACAGCATCAAGCTGCTCTATTGCAATTTTGAGAAAATAGATATAATGAATCAAACAGAATAGCTGGTATAGAGGTGCCAGACCAAATATAAGACAGCAGTAAACCAATCACCAACTCAAGATGTACAACCTGAGAAATACTAAATCCACCTTCCGCAAAATTCTGTTGGTAAAGTCCAATGTTTGCACCATCTACTATAGCTTCGTATTCAGCATGTTTGTCCAACCAGTCCTAAACAAATCATTTTTAAAATAAATAAGTAAACAAAAGTTAGCAATAGACAATAATAAGAGTATCATCAGCAGCGTTCAAAAATATAAGGCAGAATAACAAGAAGTTCACAACTTTGCATAATTATTTTCTGATACAACAATATTAATATAATATACATTTCTAGAATTGACAATGATGTAAGCACGTTTTCCAAACATGAACCGAACATAATATTCAAGCACCAAGAAGCATTATGTGTGGAATAGAACTTAGTTTAGCATCTTTAAAGCAGAGGTGATCTAACTAAAAAAAAAATCAATTATTCCATTAATTAATATTTGAGAATAAAATTATATCGAAAGAAATAAGTTTAATAGAAATAGGAATGCAGTTGACGAATCTTGAAATAGGACATGTCCACAGTAAACCAACGAAACTAGCCGGTTCGCTCAAAATGAATCCTTGTTTGTTTTGACTAAAGTGTTATGGACGACTCAACAATTCTAATTCTAATTATAATTCAAATCACCTAATCCAGTATATTTTCGACATCCATAGGAGTGGGTACAATCAATTATTCCATTAATCAAGCGAGATAACCAAAATCACACCTGAATTTTATTGGTACCAATTTCAGATCTTCAAATCAGAAGCATGTAATTAGAACCTATATATTCTCAAGCCATGTAGTTTCAGTGTTTTTGAATTAAGTTTACAAGAACCAAACGCAAAAGTAATTCTAATTGACACAGTACTAAAAGCAACACTATCATATTGCCTACCTCAAAATCCCTGAAATTGGACTGGACTTCCCTTTGCATAGCTAAAGAAGCAACAGACTGAGCAAACTTCTCAGTCTCTGCTTTATCAATGTCAACACAACCCAATTGCTCACCACAAGAGAGACAACCACCATCCGAATCCACATTAGACCTACACACAACCCACTTTCCCTTCCCAAGCCAACCCATCCCATGCCAACCACCACCATTCCTCAAAATTGTTTCTTTAACACAACCCTCGTCCCAATTCGACACACCCACCTCGCCCGCCACCGCCCCACCAAACCAACACTCAATAGTCTCAGATGTCGATGCACTCACACCCCTCACTGTCCCTCTCAGCTTATGCAAATACTCATAAACCTTCTCTTCCCTCCCAGTTTCCACACTCACCTTCAACAATGCTGAGAGCTCTGGCTCCTCCAAGCTCACCCCATTCGAAATCATGTGTTCCTCAACCTCATAAGCCTTATCAGCCTCCAAATTTTTACAATAACACACCAACGCAGGGTCATAGGACCTCAGTCTTGGCGAAACCCCGTACTTTCCCATACTCTTCACCAACTCGAAAGCTAGGTCTCCGTCCCCCTTTGCCGCAGCGAGCCTCGCCACGGCGGTGATCGTCGCCTCCGTCGGCTTAACTTGGCTCGACAACATGTGATCGAAGATGCGAAAACCGAATTCGAAGGCCGATTCGGAGGAGTCTGAAACGGAGTTAGAGGAGATGTAGAGGAGGGCATTGAAGTGGTAGTGGTTGAGGCGAATGTTCTGTGAGATTGCGAAGTCGTAGAGCGAAATCGCGGACGAGAGGTCTTTGTTCTTGGAGCAGAGATCGAGGTCGTGGCGAAACTTGCCTTCTGGAGTTTGGTTCTTCTTCTTCTTGTTCTTGTGGTTTGAATGGTGGTTTGGGTGGTTAGGGTTTGAGACCTCCATGGATGGATTGATTGAGAGCTTGAATTGGGGGAGGAAGTAGCAGAAATGGAAAAACCCTAGAATTTCAAAAAATTTAGCTTATATGGTCTGTGCGTATGGGCCTAGCAGGCTTCACTGTGAGAGCTATCATTTTAACCCGTTAAACTTGTATCAATTTACATTAATTCGCATCAATTCATTTATTAATTACTGATTAAATTTTGAATCGATTTCAAAATTGTTCCACTTAATGCTTTTTCTTTCTCTCTTTTTCTTTTTTCTTTTTTCTTTTTTCTTTTTTTTTTTAATCAAGTTTGAATAAAAAAATTGGGTTAAAAATTTCATCTGATACCAAATGTTTCAGTTAAATTTTCAATTTTTATCAAATAATCAATTAACTTAGCGATTAGGAGAATGTCCGGACAATCGTTTGGGTTAGTGTGAATTTTCTTCAAATTTTTCCAATCCAGTTATGCACCCGATTGTCCACCAACACTTACTTGCGAGATTTGATGAAAAGTTAAAAACTCTCTTAATTTGATGAAAAAATTAGTGTTTTCTTCATTTGATACCAATTTAGTAAAACGGTTAGAACACCATTTTTACTAAATTTTCATCAAATTTAAATTTGATGAAAAATTTGAGTTTGGAGCTGGTCTAATGAAATATCAAAGTAAAATTAAATGTGAAAAAATTTAAGCTGTGAAATTTATCACAAATTAGTAATTATATATGAAAAATATTACTATGTAAAATTATTTTGTGTTATATATATGAAAAATATTATGTAAATTAATGTTATATATTATTTAAATACTTGATAATTGTTTAAGAATATTCTTCAATCAATACGTAAATTGAAACCATCCCAAACATGATTTGATTATTTATCAATTTGTTATTCATAATTTGGTTTATAATTTTATTCTCAAATCGTCTAAATCGCATTCTACACACCCCTAATTGTGAGAAGGGGCACTTACCAATAAGTCTCATACGGAAAGTTCAAAATCCATCTAATCCCAAAATAAAATACTTGCACTAGTTAGTCCAACGAATTTTTAATTGTTACCAAAAAAAACTTTATTTATTTATTTTTTTTATAACTTTAAAACGCTGCTACATCCCATATTACAAGAAGCTACACTTTTGACGACTAAATTTTTATTTGCCAAAAGTCAAGTTTTAGTCGTCGAAGGTTTTTAGTGACTAAAATTTTTGGTCAGCTGCTTAGTTGTTGAAGACTTGTCGGAAAAGGTAATTGACAACTAAAACAAATTTAGTTACCAAAAGTAGTAAATTGCCAACTATTTTATTAGTCGCCAAAAGCATTGATATAAAATTAAATATGCATTTTCGGCGACTATTAGTCGCCAATTTTTTTTTTTTTTCATCCTAATTTCTTTAGCTACTAAAGTTATTAGTCATGTAAAGTCATATTGTTTTTGGCTACTAAAAATGTTTTTAGCTACTAAAATATTGTAGTCGGCTAAAGGTTAATATATTTTTGGCTACTAATATTTTAGTCACCTAAAGTCTCAGCTTTTTCCCTACTACACTTTTAGTCACCAAAAATGTTGTGTTCTAGCTTGTCTTTTCTAGCTACTAAATATTGTGGTCGCCTAAAGTTTGATTGGTTTTTAGCTACTAATTTTTTAGTCACCTAAAGTCTGACCTTTTTCCCTACTAAACTTTTAGTCGCCAAAAATCTTTGGTTGTGCATCAGCTACTAAACAGTTTAATCGCTTAAAATCTGATTGGTTTTTGGCTACTAAACTTTTAGCCGCCAAGAGCTTTTTTCATTGTATTTTTTTAGTTACTATCTATTTAGTCGCTAAAACATGTATTTCCTTATTGTTATATCAAGCCAAAAACATGATTGTATGTTTTCTCTCAGAATTACAATTTCTCCACAACCTGTATGTATTATGTGCAACTTATATTTATTCCGTGCAACCTGTAGCATGTATATAAAGAAAACAATACGTATATTATTAATCATTCCACAAGCTGCATCCATTTCACTTCCAACTATCCAAAAAGGAATAATTTTAAATGTCAAATTCCATACAAACCAACTATAATTCAAACTGGAATAATAACTCCATACAAAATAGAGAAGCATACGAAAATCAAGCCCTCCGTATTCAAAAAAAATATATTTACTACCATACCAAATGGCCATTTGGCGTGATACAAATTACCATCGTAATCTGTCCTACAGTAAAAGGTAATCTATATACCATGCCAGTAAGTATCAGTTTGATGCCAAAAGTTATCTGCATGAGTAATAGTAATCTACACAAAAGTACTAGACAACAAAATTAGCAAGAATGTACAAAAGTATAAATTGCCCTCCATACACAAAAATAGATTATCCACAAGTCCACGCCAAAAGCCATCTAAATAAATAAATAAATAAATAAAAAATTGCGCCTATTAGAAAATCTTTGTTCAATCAGCCATACAAAAAAGTTTTTAACATGCAATTTTATCTGCATGAGTAATAGTAATCTACACAAAAGTACTAGACAACAAAATTAGCAAGAATGTACAAAAGTATAAATTGCCCTCCATACACAAAAATAGATTATCCACAAGTCCACGCCAAAAGCCATCTAAAAAATAAATAAATAAATAAAAAATTGCGCCTATTAGAAAATCTTTGTTCAATCAACCATACAAAAAAGTTTTTAACATGCAATTAAGTTAGGTTCAACTTATGAATGCCTTATTGGACATAAAATCATATATATGTGTGAAGTCAGATTTTTATTTATTTATTATTATTATTATATATATGTATCATGAATGTGCACTTGTTTGAAGTTTGAATTTAATTCCCTATTGACAAAAGAACACAAGTTAATCAATCAATATTACTATCCACTACGATGCTTATCTTTGTTTTCATCATACAGTAAAAGAGTGCATTAATTAGATTCGACAAATAGTAACTACAAATGATCAACATCCATATCATGTAGAATATGTATTGTCAAGAACATATAACTGAAGTATTTTATTTTCCTTTTATCCCAAATGAACAAGGTGCATTTGCATTTTTGAAAGTTGAAACAAGACTTAGTTTATTAAAGAGATTTTACCATGAACTTATAGTGAAAGTATATTAAAGAAAATTGTTGGGGGATATTGTGACGCCCCAAATTTTTTTTTTGAAATGTCATAAGATTTAAACAACAATAACTTGCTAGATAAAATTTTAACTACTAATTAGGAAATTTTAAATTCTTACATAGACAAAGTCCAACAACAAAATAAAACTACAAGTTCACATACAACGTCACAACATAGTTAAACACTAATACAAGAAATAATAGGATTTTATTTTGATAAAATCTTGACTCTAAGTTAGCCAAGGTTCGATATTAGCAGCAGCTCCAATCTCAGCCTCAGTCCCTTCTTCGACATAATCTAGCATGAAACGCCAGGGCAACAAAATATATGCCATGAGTTTTGCAACACAGTAAGAAAACATAACCAACCTACCATTCTTTCTGAGAGAAAATAATGAGATTATAAACACGAGATAATAATATAATCGTAAACATAAATTAGAACTATTAAAATACCTCAAATAATTTTAATAACTTAGGTGACCTTTGAAATCTCGCCAAAGAGGTTTAATTTACCAACCACTAAGTCATGGCCACAGTTAATTTGGAAACCCCTCCTTGGTCAAATATTCAAGAACTACCAAAGATGCCCACGCCCAGAGTTATATACCCAAGCCATGACATCTGTGGTCTGCCAGGGGTACGTAACTTCCCTGTGTGCCACCCGCACATCCACCTATATTCCAAAACCAAATACTGATAAGGGTTCAAATAATCCCCGTGCCAACTTAGGGTTTCGCGACACAATTTACTTAAAAGTTATTCAAAACCAGGGCTCGCCCTGAATACCCGGTATTAAAATTTATAAATAAATTATTTACACAATTCTAAAATTCGTGCAATTGAACAGAATACTCAATAGGGATGTTTAGGTCACTTTCAGAAAGAATTTCAGAAAAAGAAGGTGTAAATAATCCTGTAAAATTCCCAGCAAATTTTTTTTTTTGACACAGATTCGTCCCATTTCCTTACATTAATTCCATGCTTAAATTTATAAATCAAATCCATAATCTAAAAATTTATCATGAAACTAGACTTCTCAAATTTCATCTTTTAGTTAGAAATTACCAGATTTGGCTTAGTATAGAATTTTAAATAAATTTTCAAATACATAGTAAAATCTGTCTCACAGTTTCAGATTTAGTAAAAATTTTTGTATAAATTCTTAGAGAGCTCAAAAATTGTTGCCAAAATTCTTGGATGAATTAGACATCATTATCAACAACTTTGTAGAAGAAATAATCTTGAAATTTTGAGTATAAAATTGTGTAAAAATTTGGGCAAACATGCTGGCAGATTCAAAACAGATTATTCTCAACACAGTTTCAGATTTAGTAAAAATATTTGCATAAATTCGTAGAAAGCTCAAAAATTGTTGCCAAAATTTTTGGATGAACTAGACATCATTATCAACAACTTTGTAGCAGAAATCATCTCGAAATTTTGAGTATAAAATTGTCTAAAAATTCGGGTTAACATGCTGGCAGATTCAAAAGAAATTATTCTCAACACAGTTTAGACAATTTATCATATATAATATGAAAATTTCAAATATATAAAAAAAAAATGAGAGGATTGAGAAGGTTTTCTTACTTAAAAGTAGGATTCAAATGGGTGATGAAGTGGTAGAAAAATTTTGCTTCCTTAACCTTCCCATCTTCTTTTCCTTCTGCTGAATCTCTCATCACCCGTATATACTCATTCTTTTGTTTGTATGTGTCCATGAACTAAGTCTACCTATGATATATATAGGCAGATCTCTCTCTCTCTCTCTCTCTCTCTCTCTCTCTCTCTCTTTTCATGATGTTATTCCCTGCCATAAACTTTACTCTACCCAAAAGCCATCATTTGGTGGAATTCACCAAGCCAACATGCAAGTTAGCATGTGGCATACCCTTGCCACCGAATCTGATTCTCCTTTCTTTTCTTTTTTTGATAATAATTTATAACAATAATTATTGAACATCAATACCTTATTATTCTTAATAAGGTCTT